CAAAGGTGCCATAAGGACATGTAAAGGTGGTCTTTTCCTGGTCCTCGGGAGAAATGGCTATTTGATTGTACCCTGAATACCCATCTAAGAAACAATAGTACTCTTTTCCGGCTAATCTGTCTAACATTTGGTCAATGAAAGGTAGTGGAAAATGGTCCTTTTGGTAGCCTTGTTTAGTCTCCTATAATCCATGCATATTCTCCAACCTGAAACAACTCTGGTGAGGATAAGTTCATTTTTGTCATTTGTGATGACTGTGAACCCTCCTTTCTTAGAAACACACTAGACCAGACTAACCCAAGAACTACTAGCTATCGGAAAGATAACTTCAGCATCTAACCATTTCAAAATCTCTTTCTTGACTACCTCTTTCATGACAGGGTTYAGCCTTCTCTGAGGTTCTATGGACATGAAGTTTTTATCTTCTAAGATGATCTTGTGTTGACAAATAGAGGGACTAATTCCTTTCAGGTCAGCAATGGTCCATCCTAAGGCCTTCTTGTGCAATTTCAGCATATCCACAAGTTTCTTTTCTTGATGCAATTCTAGGGTAGATGAGATAATGACAGGCAATTTGCCTTCTTCTACTAGAAAAGCATATTTCAAGTGGGATGGGAGTTGCTTTAACTCCAACTCAGGTGGTGATTCTATGGACGGGGTGAAGTCTTTTTGCTTATTATTTTCAAGCAGCTCAAATGCTGTAGCATCTACTGGGACAACATTAGTTCCTATCTCATCTATCTCCTCAATACTTTCCTCTTCTATTTCCTCATCATACTCTCCTTCCAACTTAAGGTTTCTCTGAATTCCTTCTTCCAAACACATCTCCTCTATCTCATCTATTCTTGAACACTCTTCTAAGTAATCAGGGTACTTTAGAGAGTTGAAGACATTAAAGGTGACTTTTTGGTCCTAGAGTCTCATGGTTAAACTCTCCTTTCTGGACATCAATCAGGGTTCTTCCGGTGGCTAAGAAAGGTCTTCTTAAAATGATCGGAATGTCTTATCGGCCTCAAAATCTAGTATGATAAAGTCTGCCGAAAATATGAACTTGTCAACCTGTACCAAAACATCTTCAATTTTCCCCTTAGGATATGCTATGGACTTGTTGGCCAATTGGAGTGTGATGGTGGTGGGTCTATCCTCTCCTATGCCTAAGGTGTTAAAGACAGACAAAGGCATGAGGTTAATACTAGCTCCTAAGTCACATAGGGCTTTCCTTGTCTCCTTCCCTCCTCTTGAACAAGGAATGGTAAAACTCCCTGGATCTTTTAGCTTAGAGGGTATGCTATTGGTCAAAAGTGCGCTACATCCTTTAGTTAGGGTTACTGTCTCATACTCAGTCAACTTCTTCTTATTGCTTAAGATATCCTTCAGAAACTTAGCATAACTAGGCATTTGCTCAATTGCTTCAACAAGGGGTATGTTGATGTGCAATTCTTTAAATACATCCAAGAACTTTTTAAAATGCAATTCCTCTTTCTGATTCCTCAACCTTTGGGGGTAAGGAACATAGGGAGGGATTGGTTTTATCACATTTTTGCTTGGAGGTGTTGAGCAAGATGGGTCTTGAATGTCCTGAGTCTTTGTGGTGCTCTTTTGTGGTTCTGGTGGAATCTTATTATCAAGCTTAGGGGTCTCTACAACCTCAGTCCCTTCTGACTTCTTCAGAGGCTCCTCTGGAAAAAGTAAAAGGAAGTCTGATCTAGGGGGAACAAGAGTAGTGGTCTCAGATGTTTGCTTTTCTAAAAGTGGGACTGGTCCTTCTTTGAGAGGGACCGACACTAGATCACTAGGTTTTGACAGTCTTGGTGTCTTATCTTTCTGCACTTTTTCTGTCAACTCCTTTCCACTCCTAAGAGTTACTATTTTCACATGCTCCTTTCCTAGGTCTCTAGGGATTTCTGTATTACTGGGCAAGGTTCCATGGGCTCGACTATTCAGGTTAAATGCAAGTTGACTGACTTGAGTCTCTAAATTCCTGATGGCAGCACTTTGTTGATTAATCAAAGCTTGATTTTGGGCTTGAGCCTGTGCTACCAAGCCCTTTAATCATTGCTTCCAAAGAAGATGATGATTCTGCCTGTGGAGGAGGTTTGTTCTGAAAATGTGGCTGAGAATTTTGAAAACTTTGTTGGTGGTTCTGAGAGTTAGAACTGTTTGCATGATGCTGTGGTGGGAAATTAGAAGTTCCTTGTTGCTTATGGACTGGTGGATTAAGGCTAGGACTGGTCCAAGAAAAGTTCGGGTGTTGTCTCCAACTGGCATTATATGAGTTAGAGTAGGGATTCGATCTGTTTTGAACATAATTTACTGATTCAGAATTATGAGAACAGTGTTCATATGAATGATCCCCACCACAGCACACACACTGCACAAATAGGACTGTTGGAACAGATGTGTTAGCAGCTTGTTGTACTCCCTGACCAGAAGTTAAATTTTTCAATAAATTAGTCATGGAGGTAAGCTGAGCTGTTAATGCAGTATATGCATCCACCTCATATATTCCAGTAGTCTTTTTCTGTGGTTGTGCACATGGGTCAGCCCAATGCCCATCGTTTGCTGATATCTTTTCTAGGATCTCATATCCCTCATTATAGGTACTGGCTGTAAAGGCTCCGCCTGCAGTCCTGTCGAGCATTTGTTTTGCCATGGGACTTAACCCATTGTAAAATGTCTCAAGTTGGATACAGTACGGAATGCCATGGTGTGGGTATTTCCTCAACAGCTCTTTAAACCTTTCCCACGCGTCAGGAACAACTTCATCATCCAGTTGTTTGAAAAGACAGATTTCGTTTCTAGACTTAGCGTTCCTTGTTGGTGGGAAATATTTTTGCAACAAAAATTTCTGCCATGTTACCCCATGACGGCACAGATCCTGGTGTTAAAGAGTTAAACCATGCTTTTGCCCGATCCCATAATGAAAATGGAAATAAAGTAAGTCTGAGAGCGTCATTTGACACTCCCGAGATCAGGAAGGCATCTGTGATTTCCATAAAAGACTTTAAATGAGAATGTGGGTCTTCTGAGGGCAGTCCAGCAAATTGGCCATTAGTTTGTAACATATGAAACATTATCGGTTTTAGCTCGAAATGGAGAGCGGTCATATGTGGTCTAACTATCCCAGAATTTAATTGCTCAAAATCCGGGATAGCATAATCCATGATCCGTCCATTTTTGGAATTTGCCAGATTAATGATGTTCGGAGTTTGTGCCCTTTGTTGCTCATTAGGGTCCGATTATGTGTCCAAATTATTATCATTTTCATGATGTGGGTTTCCTTGGTGAAAAATTGGGAACGGTGGTATTTGCCCAAAAATTGGCAGTTGGTTTTCCAAATGTGGTACTTCCGGAATGTTGGGAGCATGTAACTCCATGTTGGGAGAGAGTAGAGCCTGAAAAGCTCTCTAAGCCCTCCTTCTATGGTGAAACATTCTCTCAATGTCTGGATCAAATTCGAAAAATTCCACGCGATGTGTTCTTGGCATACACCACTTTTCAAAAACAAGTACTAGAAAAATCAAATCTTTTACTTTACTCAAAAGAAAACTTTCAGCTTGCCTATCCCCGGCAGCAGCGCCAAAAACTTGGTCGGTCAAATCCTTTACCTTTAGACTTAATGAAATTGGGCCACAAAGCAAGTATACAATACGGCCCAACGTCATCTTTCCAAGTAATAAAGTGGTACAAGTACCGAAATATCGTCCACAGGGATTGAAGCAAAAGTTAAATAAGAGTTCAATAAAAGAAAAGATTTCAGATGACGAAAACGAAGACTTTAGTTTGATTCCAAGTTAACATAGGTAATATAACAGAATAATAAAGTAGAATAATAAAGGTAGCACGGGTGTAAGATTTGGGGTGAAACGTAAACACGAAATCCAGCAGACAAAGCTGTGGAAGGACCGGTCCCACCATTTATCTTGAAGGTATTCCTCTCGRACTTCACCTTTGCACTATATTATAGCTTTGCACCCATATCTCTATGCGGTGTTCGGACCAGGGATAGTAACAAAATGGTGTCTTCAAGATATATGGCTAAACAAATCTCTTTGTTAAAAATCACTCTTTCGAGCTGATTCCCATATCATTCAAGTTGGCGTGTTCTTGATAGTTCATCTCTGAATCTATCACACTTTGACACTTTTAGAGAGTGACCAACCYRTCGGGAGTTAAGTTTGAAAAACATAAATGACAAGTCTTCTTGTCGGCAACTTTCTCAAGTCTACCTCTCATATCATTCAAGCTGACGTGCTTATCATGGCTTATCTCTAAGTCCATGGCACTTTAACACTTTCAAAGTGATCAA